CACACACACACACACACACACACTCTCACACACACAAAAAAACAAACAAACAACAACAACAACAACAAAAAACCGGGGAGGGGGGTAGAGGAAGATATAACAACCACAATTTTTTTTGAAGTTCTTACAACAAGAAAATGGAGGGGACACAGTTGGGTGGGAGGGGGGAGAGGGTGGAGGGAGGGAGGTTTCGGTGATGGGACACAATAATCAACTACATTGTATATTGACAAAATAAAAATAATAAAAAAAAGAAAGAATGAATAAAGGGAAAAAAATAAATAAAAGTGTTTTCATTGCAAAGTTCCTATCTCAATCCTGCTTCAGGTCTGTTCCCACATTTTCAGGCTCAGAGATATTTGTTTGTGTCCTCTGACCACTGAGGACACCAGGGATGATGGTTTTGACTGGAATGCTCAGCCCATTCCCTGTCTGTTGTCTGATTCCTGCCACCCATGGGACTGTCCACCTCAGGGCTCTGCAGCTGGTGAGGCCATCTGGACATCATCTGACACCAGGTGTGTGAGTTGTGAGAGGTGTCCTAGAATCAGCAGATGCTCTGTCCTTACAGAAAATTGGTGTTCTCAAGAAAGCTCCTTGATGGCTACAGACAATTTCAAATTAATATTAGATAAATGGTTCTTTTAATCACAAATAAGTGAGAACATGTGGAATTTCTCTTTCTGTGCCTGACCTATTTCATGAAGCTAATAATAAATAAATAAATACACAAACTGAGGGGAGGAGAAGACACAACAATTACAATTCCTTGAAGTTGTTACAACAAGTGAACAGATATGAGGTTGTTGGGAGGTGGCGAGGCAGGGGAAGGGAGGTTTTGTTAATGGGCCATAAAAATCAACAGCATTGTATATTGATAAAATAAAACAAAATTTAAAAAAAATGTTTCTATGAATCAGCTCTACTTGATATAGACAAATTGGTTACTATGTTAAATCAGCACTTGCGGTGAATCTTTTCAAAGACAAATCCTGAACATCAGTATCCATGGTGTGGATGAGGATCCAGAGGCTAAAATTCCTCAGTGAGGATAGAGACGCCATGGGCAGTCCTGTCGGATGATAATAAACATGTGGGGCATGTGTGCTTGACTGAGGGGGAGGACCGTGTAGGGACAGTGTGCACTTCCACTAAGATAACCTTTAGGGAAAATTATTCTTGATCACATGAAGGTAAGAATCTTTGTAATGATTTGCATGCCAGGAAATGAAACAGTTCATAATTAAACAGTTCAAATAAAAGTAAAAACAAAACAGTTCAAATTAAACCTGAGAAAGAGAGAAATCCAGTGAATGGAAACATCTTATCTAAAAAAGAGGGAAGTTACTTCACACTCTGTGGCCTGCAGTGAGAACGTGAGAAAATCAAGTCACAAAGAACAAAGCAAGAAATGACCCTGAGGGGAATTTGAGAGTCAGCAAAACAGAGGAAACCTCAGATCCCAAGAGGAGCCCCCCATCCCCTCTCTGCACTTGCTCCATGGGGCACAGGAGCTGGGTGGGCCTTGAGCGCCCCCTACAGCCCACACCCATCATGAATTCTGCAGGGAGGTTTGTGTCTGGGCTCATGCTGACTTCCTGTCACTGTGTCTCTCGCACAGTAATACACGCCTGTGTCCTCGGCGGTCACAGAGCTCAGCTGCAGGGAGAACTGGTCCTTGGACGTGTCTCTGGTGATGGAGGTGCGGATCTTGAGGGACGGGTTATAACCTGTGCTTCCATCATAAGCAATTACTCCGATCCATTCCAGCCTCTTCTCTGAGAGCTGGCGGATCCAGCTCCAGTAGTAACCACTGGTTGTGATGGAGAATCCAGAGACGGTGCAGGTGAGGGAGAGGGTCTGTGAGGGCTTCACCAGTCCTGGGCCCGACTCCTGCAGCTGCACCTCAGACAGGACACCTGGAAAGAAGGAGAATCAGTTCCTGTCAGTCACAACCATCCCATAGACCCATGTGTGACAGCTGAGACACTCACCATGTTTAGCTGTCACCAAGCAAAGGAGAAGACCCCACAATCTCATCTTCTGTTAGATCTCAACTCTGCCTTCCCCAGAGACCTGAGCCCTGCCTGAGGACAGACCTGTGAGCTTCCACCACCCAAGTGTCTGCATTTACTCTAGAGCTTGAAGGAAAATTTGCATGTGGGAGAGCTCTGTCCTTATAAGTGCTGAGGAACTGAGGTGAAACAATGCATTTTTTGAACTACTTGTATGCTTTCTTTTTCTTAAAATTATTTTACGTCTAAGTATGGTATGGGAGGGAACTTGGTGAGTTTAAAATATGCCAAATTGTGGCTTCAGCTTTCCGAGCCCAGATCCACCTTCCTTCAATCCCTGTCTTCTCTTGCACTGTCTTGGACCCAGCCCAACTCTCCATCATAATTTCAGGCTCTGGGTCTTCCTTCCTCAGTTCTGATCCCAGCACAACCCCTGCTTTCTTTCCCTGTACCCTCTCTTGTGATGTGTTTCTCATCACCCCAAGACCTTGTTCTGTTGTTCCACTGTTGCTGCTCCATGAGTTCCAGGCCCGCTTTGTGCTCTCCATCCTGTGATACGAGACACAGCACATGGGAACCCACAGAGACCCTGCAAAAACTGGTGCCCTGTACATTATTCAGGAAACTGACCCTCAACATTTGGGAAAGAGCAAAAGACTCTTTTCTTTGCATCTAAAGTGTAAAATTTTCATCTTAAATTCCATTTTCATCTGTATTTTTTGGATGTTAATTTTACATTTAATCCTCTATTCCCATCTGGGATCCCACCGTGTAAAAAAATAATAAGAATACTAATGGTTAACATGCAAGCAGTAATAACATCCCTAATATAAGACTTTTAGAAGTATATTTTCCTTTGATGTCTGTGTGTCAGGACTCCACAGCCACTCTATGACTGTGTGTAGCACCCACTGTACCACTGCCCACCACAGAGAAAGAGGCCAGGGGCTGGGCTGGACGCTGTGCTGTGTCTGCCCCTGCCAGCTCCTTCTCAGTCCCAAGGACAGCTACATGTCATGGAGGGACAGCCCTTCAAGGGTCCTGAATGTATAACAAGACAGGAGCTGCTGTTGGGCAATTTGGGGATGATTCATCAGTTCCTAATAACTCATACATTGTGCTGGAGTTTTCAAAAAATTTTAAAGACCTGGTAAAAGGCAAAGGGAAACAAATACTCTGAAACAACAAAGGAAGTATCAGAACCATAATAAGATATGATATAGATTTTGAAATTATGAGAAATTTAAAATAACTATGTGTAGTGTGAAATTAAATTTGTTTGTTTCCAAACCTTCAGCTGACTCTACAGAGTTCTATTCCCCCAGCTCTGTTTGTCAAGGATGATTTATCAGGATGCTCTGCCTCATGGAGCAAACAGCCCAGCATCTCAGTGGAATAAGGAACAAAAACAAAGATCTGCAGTTTGCTTATTTCTGTCCTACTGTGTTCAGGAGGGAAGTTATGGTAAGCAGAGGTATCGAATTCATAAAGGCACTCACTAAACCGGACACACACTGGTTTGAGACCTAGAATCTACAGCTTGTGGACTGACATTTAAAAGCAAACAGAAGGAGATTGAATGAAGAATTTCAGGTGGAATATATTTCAATTGTTGTAAAGACATTCAACATGAGGTCTCCCTTTTAATACATTTTAAGTGCATGATGCAGTATTGTTAACTGTGAACACAGTGTTGTTGAGCAGCTCTCTAGAACTTGCTCATCCTGTATAACTGAAACTTTGCTCCTGTTGAACTTTAATTTAATTAGCCCAGCTGTGAGGGTGTATGTTATATCTGCGCACATTTCCTTTGGCATAACTAGTTGTATGGCCCTGGCTTACATCCAAAGATCAAAACATATGTTATCTGTTATCTCACGATGAAAGAGAACTTTCATGGTGTGTGGGTGGACTGGAGTTTAATACACTGAGCCTTCTCTCTCTCTCTCTCTCTCTCTGTCTCTGTCTCTCCAAACATCCACCCCCGACAGACTAACCCCTTTTTACATCTATCTTATATGAAAATCTACCTGAAATGATGCCTCTGATTGATGCTGAGAAATTCATTCTAACAGACACAAATGGGAATCTTCACAGTCCTGTTCTGAAATAAGTCACAGATTATAGGAAGAATCTCCCGAAGTACAAAGTGAGCAGGATCACACTTTGTGCTGTGAAGAGTTAGTGCATCACCGTTTCTTTCTATCATAATTATCCTGCTAGCCTGATGCACATGCTGTGAATTAATTTGCAATCTTGCAATAGGAATGTTTGTGTTTTGTGGGTGAATCTAGTGTAAAAACTATTATAAGAAATGTATATTGAAAATTCATTAAGCAGCAGTCTCACACCACTGAAAAGAGAAAAGATGTTAAAGGAAAAAAATGGATTCAGATAGAATGTCAGAAAAGTGAGGAAAAAAATACTAGCAGAGAAAATTTTAAAGGTCCTTTAAATAAATGAAACAGTATTAAAAACAAATGGGATTATAGCAAACTAAACACCTCTACACAGCAAATAAAACAATTAACCAAACAAAACGACAACCTACAGAGTGGGAGGAAATATTTGTAAACTATGCATCCAGCTTGGGATTATTATCCAGAATATACAAGGAACTCAGTAAACATCACCATTAGAAAAAAGAAAATGAACCAGATTAAAAAAAAATGGGCAAAGGAACCTAATAGACATTTCTCAAAAGAAGATATACAAATGGCCAACAGACATGTGAAATAATTCTTAACATCACTGCACATTAGGGAAATACAAATCAAACCACATTTATGTATCATCTCATTCAGATAGACTGGTTAATATCTGGAAGACAGAGTAAGAGATGCTGGGCAGGATACTGAGAAAGTGAAACCTTCCTACACTGTTGATGAGACTGTAAATCAGTGCAGTTATTGTGGAAAACACTATGGAAGTTCCCCAAACAACTACAGTTAGATCGACCATATGATATGGGATCCCACTGCTGGATATATACCTATAGAAATGGAAATGATCATGTTGAAGGGAAACTTGCACTCCCATGTTAAACGCAGCTCTGTTTTCCATAGCCAAGATTCGGACTCAACTTGGATGCCCATTGGTGGGCATCTGGATAAGTAAAATTTGGTATATGTACGCAATGTAATACTACTGTGCCAAATAAATAAATAACAAAATTCTGCCAATTGCAGCAACATGGATGAAGTTAGGGAAAATTATGTTAAATGGGATAAGGTGGGCGCAGAAAGTGAAATAACACATGTCTTCATTCATGAGTGGGAGCTAAAAAAAATAGGAAAGAAAGACACAAGAATCACAGTAATTTGTTGAACTTTCAAAAAGAGAGGTCATACATAAGCCAGAGGTGTAAAATGGGGATGGGAGAGGGGATTAGCAAAGAATTGGTAAAGGCCCCCAATATATATTACACTGTATAAAGTTGAATATATTATTTATTCTGATCTGAGCATCATATATTGTACACAGATATGGATATTCAAAGCCATACCCCTCAGATATTTATTAAAAAAAAGAGTTTCAATAAGAATAATAAAAAATAATATAATAAATTTAATTTTAAGAAAGAATATTAATGAAAATTTTAAGGCCTAGAATAATAAAAATTATAAATATTAAAACAGGAAAACAGGGAGGAAAATATTATTTTCCATCTATGCTGATCAGTCCTCAAAAGTTCTCAATAAAATCATGTTCATCATAAGGTCCTAAGATCAATGAACAAAGATAGTCCAAGAACTAAATTTAAAATGTACTTATATAAATTTCTATGCTTTAAAATAGCAAATCAAGTTGAATGGATGGGCTTGATGTTATGGAGGTCACTACCCGTAGGAAATAGAGATCCTTCCCTTGGAACTTCTTGAGAAGCCACATATTGACCTGGGAAATAAGAGAGGGGGGCATTATATTTCTGTTTCAACCTCCATTGCTGGTGGATACCCCTGAGAGGTTTAACTTATCTACACATCAGGGTGGTAGCGACCTGTGGGACTCAAAGTTCTCACTACAGTGAAGGAAGTTATGCATCACCTGAGAGCTGTTTCAGGTAAAGGTGGATCACGTCCATACAGAAATATCCAACACAATTGCTGCTAACATTTGTCTTGGCCTGGGGGACATGAATGAGAACTACAAAAATCTAGTCCAGTGTGTCCTTATATTTCTCTTTTCCTAGTTGGTTCCACACAGGTCCACTCAGTCTACTACGCCACAAAGGCCAGACTGACTCCTCTTTGTCTCGGTGCACAGGTGCCACCTTAGGCTGAAAGACATGGGACAGTTACCATCCCTGATAGAGAAACTCTCTTTATCAGCTGCTCCATAGTCATAAGTATCCCCATAAGAAGACAACACACATAGACCCAGATGAAGTGGAACCACTTCTGTGCCCTAGTAGAAGGATTGTGAAGGCATAAATAAAACTTTGCATTTAGTCACAACATATGTGGTGACAGCAATTAATCCTACTTCTACACTCTTATTCCCAGACCCCTGTGTTGTAGCTATTGGGCCCAAGCCTCCTATACAGCCCATTGAATAGGACCATATGCTGGGAGCTAGATTACACTGAAATGCCTGTGATGGAATTAGTTTAGATCTCATAGTTTCTTCTGGAACATGATGTCATAAAACATTCTCAGGCACATCAATTTGGTTTTATTTTCTGACACTTGAATTGGCCCTACCATTTTTCTATTAGTCTTTCTGCTTCTGGAAAAATCTAACTGATGGATGACAACTTTAGCCCATTCGTGGGTTCCCATGGCCTCACGTCCTATGACTCAACAACAACTAGAGTCCTTGTTCTTAGAACATCCTATAGGATCTCATATCAGATCCAGACATTCAGCACCAAGGATATTGGTTATGAAAAAAGGACTTTGGCAAGAAAGGCAAATCCTCATACTGGATAAGACTAACTACCATAAACAACAATAAAGCTAAAAATGAGGGTGAAGGGTACATGGTATGTTTTCTCTTATTTCTGCAACATTTATTTAAGTCTAAAGTTATTACAAAATGCATTTAAAAATTAAGGAAAATATGAATCAACAGGTAAATAAGGCCAATAAAATATTAGATGAGAAAATTCTGATGAAGACAATTTTCTGGCTCTCATGGGTGAGTGCGACATGAAGCAATAAACTTATTACAAAGAGGATTAGTGATATTCCCATGTTGATGGATGGTGTCGTATTTGTCACTGTCATCTCAAGCACTCAGTGTGAGGAGCTAGGCCAGTCGTGGAGGGAGTTATCCCCACACTTCATTTTCCATGCTCATGAAAGCCTGATATAAACAGAGAAGGCACAAAGGTTGGTACAGAAATATTGATAGTGATATAAAAATCAATGATTTCATTCCCTGGACCCACTGACTTAGCAGAACATGTTTTCTTCTCGTGGAGGTGCTGATTTCTCTCACATGTCAATGCAATCTGTTGGACTTTAATATCATAATTGCCCTGAAAAGTTGTGTCATAGATTGTTAGAAAATTCCCTGAGAAATTACATCGTTAATTTTCAGGAAGATATGGAAAAATATCTGGATGTGATGGAATTGTTAAATTTAAATACCATAAAATAACAAACTGAAGAAATTATTTCAAGAAGATAAGTGTCCAGGGAGGACTAAAGCAATAAAGGCTTCAAAAGGGTCATTTAGACTGAGACCAAAGAAGAACCATCAGGTTTGTCATATCAGAATGTTAATTCTATCAGTGAGAGCACAGAGTGGAATTGCTGGTGTAGACAAAAATTAGAGCAAGTCCAAGAGAGAATGAAACATGTTATACCTGAAGACATGCGGGACACTCACACTTTCAGTTTCTGTGTGAGGACCCGGAGGTACAGTCCTCCTAAATGGAGGGGTTTTTTAAAGACTAATAAAAAGTGTGTGCTGTTAATAAAATCACTGAGGATATGCCCACGTATAGGACTGCATAAATGACAGTGGCACTCGGGGGTCACTCTGAACCACGCAGGCCATGTGATCATTCTGACTTACTCAGAATCTTTTCCATCCACCACAGATTGGAATGGGGAAGGTCAAGTTTAGGTCAGTCTCTATGAAGAAATGAGGAACACAAGGACACAGACATTGAATAAAACCTTCCAAAATTCACAATGTCCTTGTTCATCACAAATGTGTCAGTATATGACCTAGATGTAATATTTGCACTCTTTTGTGTTTAGCAAATTTCCTGTGCAATAAAGTTAATTGGTACTTTCAGAGTGTCAGTGAGTATATATATAATGTCAAAAAGGCATTATTTTAAAACATAGGTGTTAAAAATTACACTCACTTTAAAAAATTACATTTTATTATCTGTGCTACAATACCATCTATTCAATAAAAGAAGACAATAATGTATCTACTTTACTGCAAAAACAGTATTTCGATTGAATAGGATATCTGACATCTTCCAGAAGGGTTTGTTTGGGATAAATGAATATAAAACTTTAACTGGCTCATGTCGAAATTGGAAATCTTGGCTATTCTACATAATGGTTGGGTGGGGAATGCCTGGCACATATCAGAGTCTCAAACTTATATTATTATTATTATGGAGGAACATAGGGCAGTACTGACATAATAGTGATTTATTGCCTCATATCTGATAGTCTTTGTTTATGTTGTTATACTTTACAAAAAATAATCACAACTTGTGTACCATGAAATGTATCTACTCAAAAAAGTCTTTGAGTCACTGCTACTTTGTGTTTAACTTCCCCTGCCACATATGAAGAAAAATAAATAAAATCTAAAAGAAAAGAAGCATGCTTGGTTTAAATACACATTCTCTGCCCTTTGTCCAACTTCTTAAAAAGAATGCTTAGATCCTTTGCATTTACTATATTTGATTTGATTTGATAAAAGCCTTTCAGAACTTTAGATTAGTCTTTTAGCCCTACCTCAACTCTGTTCCATAACATAGGAACCCATAGATATTTGATTTCATATATGTGCTCTGCTCACTGGATACAAAGGTTATATTGAGGGTCACCTGGACACCCAAAGCAGCACTGTGCAACCACAGCATCTCATAGATTTGCCTAGCAGTGTGTCCTTCAGGTGTTGGAGCCATCTGTACATTTTATGTCATAAGGTACATGAGTTATTCTAGGTGTTCTGGAGTCATTAGTCACCTGTGCCTCCAACTTGATGCAGGATTGACCTGCAGTAGTGCCTGGTTTACATGGTTCTGCATGTGAAAGACACATAGGATCAGCAGCACAGTGAGGAAGCTGCAGGTGACCCCATTCACATGACCTATCCAGTGTGTCCATTGATGGACCGACACATAGGATGCACATTAGGAGACAATGTGGGGTTTGATCTTTGACGATCAAATCTATTCGAGACCACAAAGGGAAGAGGTAGTCTGTCTAAGTGAATGTGTCCATGAAGGGACAAAAGCTTCTTCTCTGAGGCCAAAGAGTATGAGTTTGGAACACAGAGTGACTGGACTATGCAGCTGTTTTTCTATGAGTGAAATTAGCTCCAAAAAAGAGAAAGGAGAGTCTTCAGGGTGATCTGTTTGTCGAGGATGAAACATGAATTACAGGAATTCAGGAAGAAAATGACCCAAGTGAATCTTCTTTTTTAATAGTTAATGAATATGTATATTTATAAATAAATATTATTGGTTATGAATATTCATGAGATACAGAGCTGATTGTCACCTCTCATGCCCAAGATGTGAAGTCCAGGTTCGTGCTGGCAGCATGCCCATTGCCACTTTTCTACATATAGACCACATCAGATGCACCTTCATTACCCCGTGAGGGTGTGAGGAATTAAAGAAACAAATAACAAGACATAAAACCTCTCAGGGGGCAGCTGAAAACTTGGAGAGTGGATGATTACGTTGAACCCAACAGGAAGCACAGGCCCCTCTGCACCTGCTCATGGAATCAGCCCTGATCTTGGTGTTTCCTAAGCACCCCCAGGTGGTCCCGTGTGTCGCTGTAGGGAGGTTCCTAACTGGGCTCCCACTGACGTCCCCTTGCTGTGTCTCTGGCACAGTAATACATGGCCATGTCCTCAGCTCTCAGATTGTCAGTTTGCAGATACAGTGTGTTCTTGGCGTTTTCCCTGGAGATGGTGAATCGGCCCTTCACGGAGTCTGCATAGTATATGCTACCACCACTCCAGCTAATGGCTGAGATCCACTCCAGCCCCTTCCCTGGAGCCTGGCGGACCCAGTGCATGCCGTAGTGACCAAAGGTGAATCCAGAGGCGATACAGGTGAGTCTCAGAGACCCCGCAGGCTTCACCAAGCCTCCCCCGGACTCCACCAGCTGCACCTCACACTGGACACCTGCAAACACAGAGATATCCTGGTCAAAAAACTCTCACACGAATCCACTCTTTCTCCCATTCATAACCACACACATTCGCAATGTCTCTCTTTCGCCTTAATATGACCTTTTAATATAGCAAAAAGGAAAACCCAGCTCAGTCCAAACTCCATGGTGACTCGTCTGTGTTCAGTCCTGATCACCAAGTTTTAGCACCTGGGAATCTGGGGCTGGGGCTTGTTTCCCAGACCTGCAGGGTCAGGGCTGGGCTGCTTTACATCAGCAGAGGGAGGCCCTATTTGCATGTTCTCTTGCTACATAGCAAGATCTGTGGTGGGAGCCTATGAAGAGGGCAGAGTCCAGAGCAGATGTGAGGGCTCCAGCGGAATTTGGTGGCAATAACTATATTTGTGTCAATATGTTTTTTTATTATATGACTGTACCTCTTATGCACACTTATAATCCAACTTATGTTATTTTTGCACAGAAACACAAAGTATTTGAGGCACGTCTGAATGGTAATTCTTTATATAGATGTACAGTTATAAACAAAATCATCAAAGGATTATACAGTGTCTCCAAGAGCTCATGTGTGGTCAGAGGGAGCCTCAGTGTCCGGGTCTGTGCTCCACACCACGGATCCAACCCCAGGACAGAGCTGGGCCTGCCTAGTGACATTTGCCTAGTTAGGTTCTCTTTCCTGTAATCGCACTTTGTGATTTTGCTGTGTTCTGTCTTTTATTCACATCATACTTAGAGAACCAGAGTTCATGCTGATGCAATTTAGTGGATCTCTTAAATTCTATGTTTCAGTATTTCTCTATCTCTCTTTCTCTATTGAAACCTGCTTTTATTTGTAACCATCATAAGGAGCTATAACAGACAGAACATACTGCACCTATTTAAAGTGTGCACTTGATGAGTGCTGACATACATGTGCACCTGCACAGTCACCACCACAGTGGAAATAGTGCACAAATATTTCATCCTGTAGCATTTCCTGTTGTCCTTCTGATTTCTTCGTCCCACTCCTTCCTTCCTCTCACCCTATGTCCAGGCAACTCGTGAACTTCTTTATGTTACTTCACAGTATTTTTTTTCTCATCTAGAATTTAAGTAAAGTGATCATGCAGTCGCTGCATTTAATTCCTTGTTATACTTCATTGAGATCTTTGTTCGAAATGCAATCATTTTCTTGTGTGAATCAGGCACTCGTGACTTTTAATGCTGAGTAGTATCCCGATGTATGAAAATGCCTCCTTCTTTCAGTTTACCTGCTGATGGGAATTTTGATCATGCTCAGATTCTGGATATTATAAAGTAAGCTGCTGTTGGATTACAAATGTAGAGATGGAGTAAAAGTGTTTTTTCTTATTGTTTCAACAAAAATAATAACAATAGCAAATCCAATGAATAAGGGACAAATTAGCACATTTTCTTAAACAAATCAAAGAGTAAAGTTAACAAGACAAACAGCAAACCTGAAATCTGTAGAGAGGAGTTTTCAGGGAAAACAGGACCAAACCTTAGCTCATCTGGGTCACAAATCACTAGATGGCAAACACACTAGAATAAAGGTGAAACTAGAAATATTTCATGAATGTCCAAATGCCCAGTGTACTAAAGCATCAGAATGTGAATCTGCCAGGATGCACACATCTGCAGGGTCCTAACTTCTTTCTGGCTTCTCCAGGGTTGAGGAGAATCACTCAACTCCCGCCTTCTGGGGTGGTGCTCAAGGGGGAGAGGAGCAGCCTCTGCCTAGTGCTCCAGCACCTCCCCCAGATCCTCCACATGAAAATTTATCAATGTGCATGGGAGGCAGCAAAGCCAATATTTATGCTTTACATTTTGAGAAACTGCAGAACATTTTTTTAATGTGGATATACAATTTTATGTTCTCACCAGTATTTTATGAGCAAACCAATTACTCCACATCCTCATCAAAATCTCTTATGATTCTTCACTTTTATCATACAACGTGGCACAAAACAGAAACTTAAAACATAAAACAACCTGAATACTGAGCACTGCATGTTATTAATTCCACTTATAAAAATTATCCAGGACAGGTATGCATGGAGACAGAAATTAGGTTAGTGGTCACTATACCGGGATAAGAAGGGGGAAATGGGGACTGGAAAGTGACCCTGAAGAGACGTGTTCATTTTGGGATATTCGAATAATCTAAATTTAAATTCTGTTGGTGGTTGCACAACTTTCGTTAATTATTTTGTGAGTAACATATACTGAAGTCTTCTAAACTGCACACTTTTATAGGTAGATTTTATCATAAGTAAAATATATTTCAGTAATTTTAAAGAAATCTGTCCTTAACTTTCATAAATTAATACAGTTACACAATTTTTTACAGTTTATAAGCCCCATGAAACATACTTTTGTGAAAGAAACAACAAACATATTGTGATGTCAGTAATCTAAAGGATATGAGAGCATGAGAAAGTGCGTGGTATTTTGATATAGTCCCGTTTGGTTTTTTTCTCTTTTGTTGTTTGTGCTTTCTGACTAATTTTCATACAGTCTGTGCACACACCTAGTTCCTGAATTGTTTCACCTATATTTTGCCTTCGTGATTTTTCAGTTTCAGGTCTTATACTTAAGTCTTTAATCCACTTTGTGTTGAATTTACTATACAGTGTGAGGTAAATACCTAGTGTCATCCTTCTGCTTATGAACATCCAGTTTTCCCTGCATCACTTGTTGAGAGGAAGTCTTGTCCTCAATGTAGATTTTTGTTGCCTTTGTCCAATATCAAATGGCTGTGAGCCTGAGGGGTGATTGCTGTATTCTCAATTCTGCTCCACTGGTCTGAGTGTCTGTATTCAGTACTAATGGTGTCTATAGTCAGTAATAATATATTTCAAAATAGTAAGGAGTGTAAATTTCAAATGTCTTCTCACAAAAATTACAAGTTGATGCGATGGATATATTGAGCAGCTTGACCTTGTAAATCTACACAACTATTCCAGTTGATGAGAAAGGTAAATTGTAACTAAAGCCAAAATGTCTCATTAGTTTAGTTCTACTATGTTTCCATTTGTATTGTCAGGGCTAGTGCTCAGACCCTTCAAACCCATTGTACAAACTGGGTCACAAACCCTTATGTGCCAGGCTGGGTCACCAGACATTTCATATCCCAGACTTGATCACCAGAACCCTCACACACAGGTCTGTGCTACTTAATTGGGAAAGACCCTGGCAGCCATTGGCAGATGACCTAAGCTCAGTCCTCAGCAACAGCAGCAGCAGCAGCTTACAGGTCCAGCAGCTTACAAGTCTGGTGGTGGCAGAGGTTGTGGTGGCAGCGGCCTTGCAGAGGGTCCCGGTGGCACTGGCAGCAACAGCTTGGATCACCACCCTCCAGCAGCAGTAGAGGATTCCCCGTAGTGCCTATGGGCATCACAGGGGTGGACGGAGCATGGTGGATCAGAGCCACTCATCCTTTATACGTCAGTCCATAACCCAGGTCACCCGGGTGCACATGTGCAATTACATTAGACAATAATGAAGGAACACCTGGGTGCACTTGCACATTTACATCAAATGCTCAGCAATATTTTGAACATCTGAGTGGCCCTGACCATTTTACAATATTTTCCCAACAGATCTAATTATTCCACATTATATATCTTTATCAACACATCATTCTGTTCCCCATAAATGAATGCAATTATGATTTGTCACATAAGATGATATTAATAAAAATTGAAGGAGATATAGCCTCTCTCAGACCACACAGCGGTAAAGGATCAAGGCGTCCCTCAGAAATCATGAATGATCTGAGGACAGCAGCCAGCACAGCTTCTATTCGACACCTTCAATGTGACAAGTGGAAGTAAACAAACACCAACCAGAAGGAGACATCAGCACAGCCATTTTCTCCGGGTGTGACACGAGGAGTTCTGGGTTCAGGTCTCATGCATAAGAAGCTTGGACGTCATCGCTCCCATCCAGACAAAAGTAAAAACTCTGATCAAAATTAAAATTGGTGACAATTCTTGTATCCGTAAAAGAATGAAGTCACAGGGAGAACGGCTGTCCTCAAAATGGAAGATGCAGCCAGGAAGACAAAGAGGGTCATAACCTGTCTGATTAGAAACTCATGAGCAGAAACCTCCGTGGGATCCAGGACTGGGGGAGATAAACCAGAGCTGCAGCTGAAGAATTTCTGAATACTCAGAGCTGGGAAATCTGAGAGTTGGGTGCAGCCCAGTGGAATGGTCTCAGGGATCCCCAAACCTTTAAACTCTACCTCAGGGGCCCAACCGTGTTCTCCAATTAAATATCAGAGAACAATCCTAATATTCACAGCAGAGAAAAGGAGGAAGGAGCCATTCTGAAATACACCAGAGCATGACCTTCTCTATAAGAAGCCTTGACCTTAGGAGAAGCAAGTTTAGCTGATCCTAATGGATTGCAGATTCATCAGAGCATAATTGACCTGAGAGAAGAGAAAACATTAATCCCCTCCCCCTCCCCCAGGGGACTTCCAGTCTATCATAAGGGGGGTAAAGGGAGAAGCACTTGGGAAGTTCACACCCAGGACGCAGCTCCCTAAAGGACAGAACTCATCATAGGACTGCGCAGTGCTTCCCAAATCACAAACCTTACCCATATCAACAGGGCTTCTGTATCATAACAGAGAAAAACTAAAGCACCACATGCATCTGGGACACTATTGAAGAAGTGTCCATGAAAAGGTACCCCACAGACGGGACAAAAACAAGGACATCAGTGGACATTTTATGGAATCTGTTGCTTGACTTGTCATCTTATCATGTCTTGTCTCTGAGAGACCCAGCCCAAAATTCAGCCCAGCATGGCTCTGCTGTGTTTATATCCCTGTGCTTGTCACCCAGAATCCTCCACATGGAAATATAAGAGCTGAGTGTGGCCCTCAGGCATCTGCTTCTCCATCCAGGACACTGAGGAATGGACAGAGACTGAGACAAATCCTGAACATCAATGTCCACAGTGTGGATGAGGATCCAGAGGCTAAACTGCCTCATTGAGGATAGAGACGCCGTGGGCAAGGTCCTGTAGGATGATAATAACCATGTGGATGTAGCTGCACTTTGTACAGAGAAAAATGCTGATTTAGAGACAGGGTGCTCCAAGACTGATCTAAAGTTTTGAGAAAATAATACTAGATCATAATGATTTGTGTGTCAGGAAAAAAACCGGTCATGAAAAATCCTGACAAAGAAAATTCCCCAGTGAAAAGAACCTTCTCATCTGCACATGAGGAAAGTTACTTCACTCTGTGTTGCCGGCAGTGAGAATGTGACAAATTAGAGTCACAAAGAACAAAGCAGGAAATGACCCTGAGGGACATCTGGGAGTCAGCAGAGCAGAGGAAACCTCAGATCCCAAGAGGAACCCCCCATCCCCTCTCTGCACCTGCTCCATGGGGCACAGTAGTTGGGTGGGCCTTGTGCGCCCCCTGCAGCCCAGACCCCTCCTGTATCCTGCAGGGAGTTTTGTGTCTGGGCTCACGCTAACTTCCTGTCACTGTGTCTCTCGCACAGTAATACACGCCTGTGTCTTCGTTGGTCACAGAGCTCAGCTGCAGGGAGAACTGGTTCTTGGATGTGTCTCCGGTGATGGAGGTGCGGCTCTTGAGGGATGGGTTATAATCTGTACCACCACTATAACTGAAGGTTCCCATCCACTCCAGCCCCTTCCCTGACGGCTGGCGGATCCAGCTCCAACCATAACTAGGGGTTGTGATGAAGTCACCAGAGATGGTGCAAGTGAGGGAGAGCATCTGTGAGGGCTTCACGAGTCCTGGGCCCGACTCCTGCAGCTGCACCTGGGACAGCACACCTGTAGACAAGGAGAATCAGATCCTGTCAGCCATATTCATTCACAAACATGTCATAATCCATGTGTGACATCTGAGACACTCACCTTCGGGAGCTGTCACCAGGCAAAGGAGAAGACCCCACAATCTCATCTTCTATTTGATTTCAACTCTGCCTTCCCCAGAGACCTGAGCCCTGTCTGAGGACAGACCTGTGAGCTTCCACCACTCCAGGGTCCACATTTACACTAGAGCTTGAAGGAAAATTTGCATGTGGGAGAGCTTTGTCCTTAAAAGTGCTGAGGAACTGAGGTGTGATTATCTGTTTTTTTTTTTTTTTTGTTTGGGCCATTTGGGGATGTTGTAGAGCAGATCTCTAGACCTTGTTCATCCTGCATAACTGGAACTTTCCTCCTAAAGAATGCTAAGTTAGTTAGCCAGGCTGTGAGGCTGTATGTTATAACTGTGTACATTTCCTTTCACGTAATTAGTCATATGGCCCTGACTTACATCAAAAGATAAAAAGTGTGTGGTATCTGCTATTTCAGGATAAAGAACAACTGGTTTGTGTGTGGACTGGAGCCTGATACACTGAGCCTGTGTCACCTCTGTCTCTCTGTCTCTGTCTCTCTCTGTCTCTCTATACACACAAACACAGACACACACACACACACACACACAGCACTGGTCTTTTTTGAAAATCTACTTTGTACTCTCCTTTTGATTGATACAGAACTATTCCTTGTAATAGAAAAAAAAATTGAAATGTCACAGTCCTATTCTGGAATAGGTCACCATCTGTAGGAAGAATCTCATATAGTACAAAGTGACAGGATGGTCCTGTGTGTTTGGAAAGTTAGTGCATCACAGCCTGTTCTTTGTATCATAATTGACCTGCAGGCCTCACACAGATGCTGGTTTCCAACTTGGAATGAGTGCTGTGTTTTATGGATAGACCAACTGCAAGAAAAAATTTTTAAGATAATTATAGTACTGAAAATTCATTACGAAAGAGCCTCACATCACTGAAAAGAGAAAATATCTTCATAAAAAAATGTTCTTAGATGGGATGTCAGAAAAGTGGAAAAAGTACTACCTGAGAAAATTTTAAATGCCCTTTGAATAAATTAGAAAATATTTAAAAACATTTATGTCATTGATACTAATTAATATCATTGGTATTTTTAATGAATACCTAAGAAAAAAATTTTTTAAATAATAATAATAATGATAAATCACCAAAAACTTATGTCATTAGAACCCAGCAGACAGATGAACTGAGGAGATAATCTCTCTATAAATATGGAATGTAGAAGAAATAGAGAGATAAAGGAATCTATGGAGATGAATAAAGAGATTTAGGAACAGACCTATCAGGCAGAGAAGAAAAGGGGAGTGTGTATCAGAATAACCTTAGAGATCACACAGTCACCCCCCACAGCACCTCAAAATGTGCCTGTAATTGGATTAAGTTTAAATAGACTGAAAGGTGAAAGAAAAGGCAAAATGGGAGTTTTCATTACAAAAAACGTGCATGCTTTTAGCGGTATGTGCTGTGCAGTGGTGTAAGTACATGAAGACAAGATAGTTGCGAGTGCGTGACCAGAAATCAACAATAAAATTAGCTGCCAGAGCAATGCTGATATAAAAAATTAGATGTTATAACAAAGGCTTTATTGAAGTTCAGTTATGCCTGAAGATAACACTATAAACTGCAACATTTTTTGCTCCTTTGTAACAAACCAATCACCATGTCATACTTTGTTCATGGTCTTCCTTTCAGAATTTCTAACACAGGATAATCCAGTTCAACTTCAAATGTAACAGAGTCTTGAGGAAATTAGTAAACGTTAACTAAAATACTCTGAATACACTTTCAAATTCCCCTTCAAATAAAAACGTGAGCGAGACACTGGTTGATTTGCTACTTGCATGTTATGTCATCAGCCCTTTGAAGTTCACATCTGATCTGCATGATAATTTTCAAGACTGTGATTGTATGAACAGGAAAGCCAAAACTAATTATACAAAAAATGTTTCCACTAATAATCATGCTCAGTTGAAATATAGAAACAAACTCTGCTGCCCTGTGTCCAGGTTCCAAGTTAGAAAACTCAGCTCATTTGCTAATGTGATTTAGTAATTTTCCCCTAAAAGTGTTTTCAGAGGAACATGTCTATTTCCATCCTGCTTCTGGTCTGTTCCCAAACTTTGGGACTATGATATTTGGCTGTATTTGTGTCCTCTCATCTTTGCAGTCACCAGGTTGATTGTTTGGACCACACTGCTCAGGCCATTCCCTGACTGTTGTCTGATCCCAGCCTCCCACAGGCTTGTCCACCTCAGTGCTCTGCAGCTGGTGGCGCTGTCTGCATGTCCTCAGACATAGGTGTGTGAGTTGTGAGAGGTGTCCTGGGATCAGCTGTGCTGTGTCCTCACAGATAATCTGTGCATTCAATAAAACTGCTTACATTCCATAGTTTGTCTTTCTTCTGTGTTGATTGTTGCTTTTGATGTGCAGAAGCTTTTGTAAATGATATAATCCCATTTGTATGTTTTTTCATGTTGCTTGTGCTTTTCTGATATTATTCACAAAGTCTTTGCCTAGACATCAGACAAGGGATTAATATACAGAATACATAAGGTTCTCAAACACCTATAGAGGAAAAAATAATAATGATAATAATAGTAATCAAGTTGAAATATGTGCAATGGAGATGAGTAGACATTTTTCAAGGTAAGATATTCAAATGGCTAACATATAAATGAAAAAATGTTCAGCATCAGTAATCATCAGGAAAATGGAAATCAGAACAACATCGAGATATCACCTCAACCCACATAGTCTGGCCATTATTAAAAAGACTGTTAATAACAAATGCTGGTGAGGAAATGGAGAATTCGGAAAACTCCTACTGTGTTGGTAGGACTGTAAATTAATAAAGTCTTTATGGGGGTTTCGCAACCAACTAGAGAGAAAAGTGTCATATGATCCAGCAATGCTACTACTGGATTTATATCTAAAGGAATGGAAATCCTGTCAAAGGGACACCTGCACTTCCCTGCTAATCACAGCTCTATTTCCAATAGTCAAAATATTGACTCAACCTAAATGTCCCTCGACAAACTACTGGATAAGGAAAATGTGGTTTATATACACAATGGAAGACTACTCAGTATAAAAAAAAGAAGAATGGAATTCTCCCACTTGAAACAACATGGATGAGTCTGGAGAAAATTATATTAAGTGAAATAAGCCAGACAAGGAAAGAGAAATACTGCATATTCTGAGTAATAACTGTGTGCTAATACAGAAGAAAAGAAAGAAAGAAAGAAACAAACAAACAAAGACCACAATAGTATGTTGAACGTTCAGAAGGAGGGAACAAACCTAAGGTCACTAGAGATGGGGGAAGAGAGGGAGTGTGGATGGGAACGACAAGGCAGGTCAAGGGTGTAAAGAAAAATTGTGATTTGTAATAATGCATATATTAATAATAAAAACTAAAAATAATAAAGTATAGCTGCTTGATGGCTAAAGATATTTTCAAATTAGTATTAGTTAAATATTTATATTAATCAGCGCTACATGATATAGACAAATTGGGTCCTGTCTTAAATCAGCACGTATGAGACTTTACCAACACTGCTAGGTTTTTTTCATCATATGTAACCAGTCAACACTACAATCCTTGGGATTCTCTAACAGTGGAACATAGTCATGAAACAAGCCTCAAAAAGTCTTTGGACATTTCCTGGTGGATTTTCTTCAGCTTCGATTTTAATATGTTTTCTCTATTGTTTTCCTATTTTTTCAATGTCTTGAAGTAATTTATCAAAAAAAGTCACAGCTCTTTCAGTTGATAAAACGATACTTTATTCTGGGTTTCTAACGTGTACTATGACAGCATTTACATCAAGTGAGCTTGTCAAAATTCTAAACACAAGAGCACACACACAGAAAACATGCTTTTGGAATCGTACATGACAAATAGATACTTTGCAAACAAAGCAGAAAACATGCTTTTGGAATCCTTTTGGAATCGTACATGACAAATAGATACTTTGCAAACAAAGTGTTTATGACGTTCTTCACAGAAATTGTAAAATCTATCCTAACATTCACATCAACTAACAAAAGACACCACACAGCCAAAGCAATCCAGACAAAGGAAAAAATAATAATAAAGTTGGAGGCGTTACACTACCTGACTTTAAATTTCACTACAAAACTATGGTAAGTGAAACAACATGGTACTGGCATAAAAACAGACAGTAAAAACAATGGAAGAGAACAGAGAACCCAGAAAACAATCCACATACTTACAGCCAACTGGTCTTTGACAAAGGCACTGAGAACATACTTCGGTAAAAAGACTGACTCTTCAATATATGGTGCTGGAGAAACTAGATAACCATCTATAGATGATAAAACTAGACCTGTACCTTCCACCATATTTGAAAATCAACCCCAAATAGATTAAAGCCTTGAATATAACACCAGATACCTTACAAGTCTGAAAATAAAACACAGGTGAAACACTTCAGTAAGTAGGACTGGGGAAAAACTTAATGAAAATGACCCGAAAAGCACAGGCAACAAAAGAAAACAAAATAAACAAATGCGGTTATATCAAACTAAACACCTTCTACACAGGAAAGGAAACAATTAACCATACAAAAAGACAACCTAAAGAGTGGGAGGAAATATTTGTAAACTATACATCCAGCTTGGAATTATTATCCAGAATATACAAGGAACTCAGAAAACATCACCATGAGAAAAAAGAAAATGAACCAGTTTAAAAAATGGGCAAAGGAGCCTAATAGACATTCCTCAAAAGAAGATATACAAATGGCCAACAGACACATTATATAATTCTCAACATCCCTAAACATCAGGGAAATACAAACCAAAACCACACTTATATATCTTCTCATTCAGATAGATCAGCCATTATCCAGAATACAGAGTAAGAGATGCTGGGCAGGATTCTGAGAAAGTGAAACCCTCCTACACTGACGGTTGAACTGTAAATCAGCGCAGCTATTATGTAAAACAGTACAGAAGTTCTTCAAACAATGGCAGATGGATCTACCATATAATCCAGGAATCCTACTGCTGGATATATAAACATAGGAATGGAAATCAT